AACGGGCCGAGAAGGCCAGTGTGACCGTTACATAGGGCGCTCAGCGGGCGCCTCTGGAAGGGGGCTACCCCAGACGCGTCGAAGACACGTCTGGGCACGAGACCACCTAAGCCTAAGTTGAGTGTGGTGATTAGGCTCGTGCCCAGCCGTTCTCACTTTTGAACTCTGCTGCCAAAGCAGCTCGTTCGTCAGTTCATCGAGCTTCGATTTCCTTTTTCAGATGCCCTCGACGAAAGCGAATGAGTACATTCTAAGTCCGACTTGCATGCGTGGTGATGCTCATAATGCATTGAATGAGACCTTGTAATGCATAGCCTTTCATGGATAATGAGTATTGTGATCGGGCCTGGAAATACCTAATAAGGCTATGTAGTACGAGGTTTTTGTATGCATTATGACTCAATGTCAACTGTGACGCCATCTCCTTCAGCATCTGAGTATTTTGCTTTCATGATATGAATGCACAATACTTACATTACGGGATTTGAAATCCTCCTTCCAATGATCTCTTTCGCTGGTTCCATTCAAGTCCACTTCCCTGGGCAATTCTTGCATTGGGTATGGTCATTGGACAGTGCAGACGTTAGGTATAACAACGAGAGCACGAGGAAGACTTATTTACTATTGGTGAATCCCTCTATTCAGCTCAGCATGGGGTGTTTCCGTAGTAACGACTTATGCCTAATAATTTACTATACCCAGAGATTATTAGCGGAACATGCCATAGGACCAAAGAGGCTGTCGCTTCTCCCTCGCCCAAGGCTTCACGTATGACCAGAGCTCAGCGGGAGATTTCTCTGCGTGTACGCGTGTTCAAAATGTATCCGCAGGTGAGATTGCCCCAGGTGAGAGTGTCTATGAGTATGCATCTAGCGAGCTCGGGTACCTCAAGCAGTATATTCGCCCATTGGTCTACAAAGCACTTCTAAATGGGTTTGAGATTGGACCCTTTCGAAAAACACCTTTTCCGCGGCGTCCACCTCTCCGGTGAATAACGACATTTTATGGTAAGAAGCTCGTATTGCCTTCTGCAGCAACTGTAAAATTCGGAGGTCGCGACGAATATATGGTACGTACGGTATGCTTTAAGGAATCTCGAAGCTTTTGAGATCACTGCTCATTCACTCCACAGAATCCGTCACGGTGGCAGATAGCACCGGTCGTGCTGTCGCATTGTCGCACTCGTTGCATACTGTATTGCAATATCCGAGTTCGAAGACTCAGAAGGGAAGGCCTGTCTGCGGGGGTCTTCAGTAATGGTCTCGCCGCTCGGCACCAATCGTTCGGGTTTGGTGGCTGGAGACAAATCTTCGGAGGACGCAGAGCATCATACTGAAATCCTCCGAGATTTAAGCTATGTTCCGAACGGCCATGAGCAGTAAGGTCGATATACCTCCGAATCTACTTCATATCCAATATGCTTTCGAAACAGTGGTCCAGGAACAGTTATGTAAGAACAAGCCTCAGCATATGGATCGAGGCAGTTGAGACTTATTTTATTCCCTTCGCTGTAATGTAAATCTGCAGCTCGACTGAACTATGCTCCTGGCGTAGTGGCGCCGAGCGCAACAATAAGCTTCTGCACTTCCAGCTCAAAAGGCTGAGAGTTCGATATATCATATGATTCACTCAGTATCTTATATGACTTCGAGGGGTATCCGGATTGCGCACTGCACAATATTTTATCGGTTCCGTATCAATGGCCAGAACTCGGACATGCCTGCGTCATCATAAATCTCTTGAAGCCAGATCCACAAACTTGTACCTGACCGAATGCAAGTTTGACAGAAAGCTGAGGCCCAGAATTGTCAGCGGGGAGATTATCCTATTCAGCGTCTCAGGAGTGTGAAGTGCTAGTGTTTGAACGCGGGAGTAGTGGGAGCAATGAGCTACTTCGGAAACTCAAGTTCGACTCTGCATGAAGGAACAATGATAGCTCCGCCAGGAAAAATTGCTGTTATGAGAATTACATATAGCTGTCGTATGACCATCCTGCGCAGTCTTCCAGAAGGGTGATGATGAAATATTTGAAACCGGCTACAACAACTTAACGCGAACACACAAGAACCTTGACCATACCAGCGCTCGATCAGGCATGTAGGAAGCAAGTAATGCGTAGTACACCTATAACCAATGCCAATATGAGATGTAGTCTCGGTCGAGGGATGATACGCAATGGTATGGTACTATTTTACATATACCATCGGCTACTATTCTTTCTCCAGATCGGCGGCCAGCCGGCCCTACCCACGGAAACCCTAGTAACGCTGGAATAGCTGTCTAAGCTCCTTCCTCTTTTTCCGACTCGTTATTATCGTTGTAAACCCCGTTCGCTCCGTTGACCCTAACTGTCCCCGCTCGTGGCATCTGCACTGGACCTATTCCAAGACATACATAACATTGCCGGTGGCTAGTCCCCATCACGATTGAATGCAACGCGTGGACATGCCGGCTAAGCAGACGCCATAATCTGACCGACTACGATTGTTTGAGAGAGTGCACTGCAAAGTGCATTCACTTGTTCCCTTTTACTGTGTTCATGCACTGAAATTTTCGAACTTCCGAATGTCATTGCAGCGTCTTGCCTGATCAGTCCATCTTAGGGATTATGGCCCATTTCGCGTGCGTAATTCGGCTGCGCGCGCAATGGCAGGAGAGCACTCACATGGCGCCGTCGAACCATGTGCTGATGCGCGCACGCGAACTCAATATAGGCGAGGAGGTGGTAACACATTTTGCGGGTAATGGACATGAGCTGGAGATACAGATACAACATAGCATAAACAGCGAAGTCGCCATAGAACATAGCTTCGGCTGGAATAAGACCACCGACGGTGTGGCTCGCTTCTGGTACGGCGCGACGGTGCGGTAACGCGAATGCTCTGCGTGCCAGAGTTGGTGCGGATCCATGGTTATCAGTGTTCACATTGATATCTCGGCGTGGAATCCCGTACTACCCACGAACGTTTCAAGTCAGAACCGTTATCCGCGCCCAACAGTCCACAGTGGCATTGAACTAGTACGACACTAGTCCCATTGTTCTGATTGTCGACACGGTTCACGTCTTCAAGCATGGGCTGGAGGTGTGATTGGAGGGGTGGTGCGCCTTCTTCCTGGATATTGATTACGGCGGCCATCGATGATAGCATCTTCATTGGGCCGTCCACGAGTTCAATTCACGGGGGCTGGCTGTGGACACTGTCATACTGAAATTGATGATTCAAGATAGCTGATTCGATGGCGCTTTTACGACATACTCTAAGCCACGAATGCAACCTCGCCGACATTAAATTCCGGAACTGTCCCATGTCGATCATGTACGGAATCCAGATATGAATGCACTAGACAGTAGTCAAGTGTGTTGCCGTTGTTTCTGAGTGCTAAATCGTATAAATCCGCATCTATAAACTTAGATCTGCGATTTCTTGAGGAATAAAGAGGAAACATACCAATGTGCGTATAGACTGGTCGCGCATCTGCGAAAACGAAGCGAGCTTGGCCGGGACTCGACCATGCCAGTCAGCTGGAGGTAACCAGCGCCATTGATATTTCGAGAGATGACTCGCAACGCAAGAGGATAGGTACACAAGATGGCGCATATCATAAAGCATGTTTACGGTGTGAGTGTTGCGTTTTCGAGTTGTTGTACATGAGAGAGAAAGGTCACAAATGAGCGGCGCGCATGAGGAGCCGTCAGTGCCAGCTTACGACTCGCCTGCCAGTTGTCCTGCAAGCTTAGAGGCGAACAATTCCGGACACAGGCGCTCTAATGTTACCTTGCCTCTGTTATCTAACTCCAACTTGAGTGGGGACCCTCCACCCATCGCTGGCCCACCACACGGATCATCATCACAGATGACTACACTTGCTCCACAGCCCGCACGGCATTACTGTAGGCAGACTCCTCAATAGAGATCTATAGAGGAACCTAGGAGGACGGTCTCCCATTATCGCGGAAGATTGGAGCGGGTGGTGTTGCGTGCCAGCAGAATGTGCTAGGTACTGTATGAAGGTCTCATCGACCATTGCGACAAGGCAGTTCGCCAAGCTTCTGTAATTCAGCTAGCCGGGAAGCTACAATTGAAACAGATGTGATGGAGAGTCGCTGGCCGTTGAACACGGTACTTTCACTTCGGTTCTTGACGGCGGCTTGCTTGCGATGGGATATCTTGGGCGAGGTGAGTCTTCATATGGCCTCAGTGCATCGCTCATCCTGAATATAATGCGTAGCTCAAGTCCGTAACTAGTCGGGGTACTGCAGCTTTGCGGTTCACTTCTTGTTGGCTTTAGCACCGTCGCTGGCCCAACAGGAACCAGCACAGAATGTCGAGTACCTCTGTCGTCCATTGATGATTGATAAGTGTGTGCTCGTAAAATAGGAAGTACTTCGTGCCAGGATCCTTTGACGTTCACGGCTTGCTCCCAGAAGGTCTACGACTTCAGGGACTGTACTGACTCGTGTAGACACTGGTAATTTCCTGGTACATCGCGTCTTTGACATAGCCTATCAATAAAGTTTGTCCTGCCGCACCGCTGATTACATTTCTAGGACTTATATTTGCATCGCTATCAAGCGCAGCGGGAGCTATTGCACAAAACGACTGTTTATGAGCTTTCTAAGCAGTACGCACCTCAGTCAGCATTGTCTTTCCCTACTAGTAACTTGTTCTCGAAGAGCGCTGTAGTAACGAGGTGTTTAGTGGCGCCTTCATCCACCATTCTCGTGGCGCGCAGTTGGAGACAGGAAGCGTTGCACAAGCAGTGGTTAACCAGAGCGATTACGTCGACGAGGGCGAAGAGCTTTAAGCCGAATCAAGCGCATTCCACTGTGTATATTTATCTGTATCTGCGGGGTGAATAGCTGATCAGATCAAGCCGCCAAATTCCCGGGCTTGATCTTTCCACAAACCCTGACTATTCAGGCGCCAGCGCAAGCGGGAGCTCGCGACTTCGACTTTTTATTAGTCGTCGCGAGGCGTACGCCGTCTCTCATTTTCTTCGCTCTCGTTGTCTGCCTTTTCTTTGTGCCCGACTAGAATGCTCCGGCGCCTTCGCATTTTAAGTCTTACGACATCTATTCTGTTGCGAATATGAAACCCGCGAAACGTAGGGTTCGAAACATCGAAATTCCTCACTCCTTGATAGGCGATATCCACGCGTACCTGACAAAACCTCAACGGTGCTCGTGAACCCTGGAAATCCTTAAAAATTTGCTGTGCCGTCTATGGAAGAAAGCAAGAGGGCGGGCAATCTATAGAACGTGTCGTATGCGCCGTTTGACGCTTCGACGTTCATTTCGTTCTTGTAGGATGTAGGACTAAATTGTGGGAGGTGTTATTCGCCGGATCTGAGACCGTATGCGGATTATGCTGTAACGTATGCGCTGCTCATGATCATTGAGCGTCCTCACAGGTGCAAACAGCGCATATGTGCAGCGCCACGTTCATAGCATCTGCAACCTCAGGGCGATAGAGTCCAGGAGGATAACCGTATTTGTATGACTCGGGCAAAGGTCTCTCTTTTAAATTAGGGTAAGTTCAACTTTCGATTGCGATATTTATGCTGTTGAGTATTCCGCAGGGAGTCGGTGACAGTCTGTTTTCTCATCACCTCCCACATTCTCAATAGAAGAGGACATTCGTAACGAAGTTTGTCTCCTAAAAGCCTCTACCGTAGCTCTACTCTTACGGTCAGCATGATACGCCAGGTGCACGATTCTCAGATGACTATCGATTCTCAGTATTTTTTACTGAGTGCCTATGCCTGCAGGACGTGCGACCGGAAACATGCCAAAAAGGCTTTGTGTTCTCTGAGGGGAGATGCCTCTACAGTTACCGTCGGCGAGGCCACGTAGGCCTTCGGGAATAATCAGTAGAGACAAGCGGACGTTCATGAATGTGACACCAGTGAGTGTTTGGGTTTTATGAAATGGGTCTTATGCACGATGAGACTCTTCGACTGGTGAGTGGGACGCTTATACTGTCAGTAAGAGCATATTGGTTACACGTCGATCCATGCGGCCGGTAGCAGCCCGTGTTTTACGAAGACAGTACGTTTCAAGTTGTCTGCGTGTACGGTTGATAATCGTTCATCCCCCGTTAACGTGATTGAGTTGTGCTCGCCTCGTTAGCATCTGGAGGAGCGAATATTTTCAAAACCAATCATATTGGATATGTATGTGTTAATTGTCGGATTGGCACTGTCACTCTCAGGCGCGTCGTTCTGATTATATCCAAAAAATGTGATAACAAGGATTGTACGCAGATTTGAATATTGACAGGCCTGAAGTGTCGTTCGTCCCGTAGATGTCAAGGTTCTGCCGACGGAATCAGACTCATCCATTCTGCGATGGTATGTGATATGTTCACGCCCACTGTTTAATACTATAAGCTGGTCCTAGCAGGAAAGCTTGATATGGCCATGGCCGGGGGATCTATAAATCACAGTAAACTATATCAACATGATAGATCTGTTACAGAAGTTTGTAGCAGACATGTTTGATGCAGTATTTCCAAAGCATTCTGACAACGTTCATCTGGCCTTAAGACTCCAGAGTCGCGTTGCTTCCCGAAATGCAAGTCTTAATGCATGGCTTGCGTCCGGATGGTTTTGTGCAGCTCATGCCGGGAAACGGCCACCGGATCTCTAATGCGATGTGGGAGCTCGCTCTTTCAATCGGATCAAATCAGATGGACCCCCCTTATGTCCTCGTTCCCGGGCCTCTGCGCTTGAGGCCTGCCCAGAACAGTCTCAGAATTCACAAAGTTCACAGGACATCCTGTGAAAGACCATGTGGCGATGTCGAAGGCCGCAGTGTGGAGTCTGTCACGAATTCGCAGTGTGCGGCGCATTGATGCAACGCCCCATGCGATACAGTGGTCCAGTCTGACTGGCTGTCTTCCACTGGTCGATACTATCGGTGCGCTCACGGATAGCCAAGTGACATGCCATGCCATCTCAATAATCACGGTTGCGCTGGCGGACGACTTTGAAGCATCGTCGATATCTCGATCGATAAAGTTTGGTCGTCCAAGTTCCCGGTGTACGTTACTCCTGATGCTCCCTCGTCGGGATAGTTATGTAGGCTTATGGCCTCTTGAGGCGATCAGGCCGTCTCAGGCCGTGGAAATAAAAGTGCGACGGTAAACTATGGCCAAGGAGGGGATATATGTGTGTCCGCGTTCAGGTCCGTACACAGTTCCCGCTGCTCCCTGAATTTTCTCTTTCTCATGTCTGTGTTCTGCTACGTTCGTGAAATGCGCGGTGGCGATCAGCAAACTCTTTTAATGGCTTTGTACGTGTCTGTCACAGAGAACACTCCTTTGCCGCACCGCTCTTCGCTTGAAAAACAGCGAGCCGCACCTATTTTTCTTCTCACAATGACTCCGAGCTCTTTCCCCCTCCCTTTCATCTTCGGTTCACTTGTGCTTGCAGTGGCCGACCCCTTCGTCAGGCTCCAATACTCGTGTGCGGATGTGTTATCAGAGTCGTCTTCCATGTCTTGCCGGGACTCTGATTTTTTTTCTGGGTTGTTTACCACGTCCTACTTAAGCAATATCCTACGATGGCCGTACTCAAAAACTGTCTCATATATTTCGTCCTGAACTAACGGTTGCATTTCAGGCACATCTTGGACCTGAAATAGGAGGCTCATTTTCAGAATTAGACGTGAGTGGACTCTAGCTTGTTTATGGTATTCCACTCTTCGGCTATCCTTAATTTGCTACACATTCATAGTATTTTCGGTGGCGTAAAACCTACTGGCTGGGAAAGGATTATCATTTGGCGGTTCTCTCTGCAAAGTCCTTCAATGCAATTATGGGGTATTGGTCAGTGTGCCAGTGATCTTAACACGATGCAGAGTGACGTACAAGGGCATATCCTGCCCAATTTACTCTGAATCCAAGTCGCTATCACTGTCTTCGGTATGGAACTGGGGCGCCTCGTGTCCCTGACAGATTGGGCAATATCCCTGATATACGTCTAATACGAGGGCTTGCTCGGGCATCATTCTGTGTGTTTTCTATAAGACGTGCATGGTAGAAAGAAGGAATGATGACGCCTACACGTCGGTGCACTCATTCTCACAATCGTGCGGGATAGGCTTGTGGAACTTGCTCAGTCTGCAGCTTAGCTTATTGCAGTCGATCTAGCCGCACTTAGTGAGTGTCTCCACATGGAACTTAGGACTCACAGAGTGTCTCCGCGTGGGGAATTGATGGCCGCAGCCGTTATACTCGACATATTCGATGAGATGATAGCACATGTATTATGAGGTAGCGAGCAAAGAGCAGGTATCTTGGGCTTCGAATATTCTGGAGCAGGATTGTTCGACGTATAAAAGGCCGCTCTGGCTGAGGTTTCCCCTGAGACAGTGGTACCAATTAGCGGAACATGAAAGTACGAGAGTGCAATGAATAAAAGCTCACCGACATCTGTATCATTGCTCCATTGCTCACGGTCCGAGATATTGGAAGAGTTCCGCGTTATCACCAAGGGAGATGTAATATCGGCATAGCATCATCGCGAATCACGTCTGCAAAGTTAAATGAAATAATCGCGGGAGCGGGGAGGGCCTGACCGGAGTCACCCACTTTAGTATGATGCCCATCTCGGTAATTGTTATTCCCAGCTTCCAAACCCCACGATATCATAGATGCAATGGATGCCGTTGTTTAACGTTGTAGTTAAACAGTCGGCTGTTAAACAAAGCGGTCCATATGTGCACCACTAGGATAGACATGGTTGATGGATGGCATCTCAACTTCAAGATTACGACCTCCAGGTCAGAAGCTTTTGTATCTTCATCTTCTAGGACAAAACAGATCCACCGTTTTTAGTCACCACAATCTGGTGCAGTCGTTATCTGTGCCTTAATCAGTCATCTATTCTCATCATATGTGAATTTCCTGTATACGAGAACTTACGTGCTTGGCCCAACGGAAAACCTTCAGCGACCTCGTCTTGATGAGGCTGCCGAGGATCAGCCGCGACGATGTGGGAGGGCAATGGTATTGGCAACGTGTCTACCGCTCTTCGCCGAGACATTCCTCCATCCGGGGTAAATTTAATGTCGTCAGCCCAGATTGAGAGGAAGCTTTATGCGACATATCGCCTCCGTAGGACTCCACTTAATCTCCACCACCGCAAGCATCGGCTTATTTCCGTTGCTGTTTGCAGAAAGTGCAAAAAAGGGGGCAAATCCCAATGATAATACGAGACTAATACGGCGGGGTCGATCAAATAACGACATACGTGGATGTGAACATCTGACCGTTAGGACTGCGGGCATTGCTGCTCGATGATAGCAAGAACGAAAAAAAAAAAAAGGTTAATCTACATGATGGACGAAGCACAGCTTACCAAAGCCTTCATTATTCGAGCCAAACTTGCGCCAGTCGAACACGACGATCGACCTGGATGGTGTTCATCCACCGAACCATGACCTTTCGATTTACACCAACCCGTGTTCATAAAACATGCCTATCCCTCACATCACAACTAAGCCTTCGATAAAATCCGCAACCTACTCAAATGATAATATATTTTAGTATGATACTTCTTATCCATTATAGATGGTGCAGAAGTTCCACCTCAATCGCCTAAGACACCGCAAGGTGCGCTTAGCCCAGAGCTAATGACGGCACTTGCAACTGGCCCGCTTGTGGCTGTGAAGAGCCACCAAAAGCAGATAGATATACCCGGAGCAACTGCACACTCGGTATATAGCGCTAGGAAAATCATGATCCACCAGGACAGACATTTGTATGTTGACGCATCTGCATAGTCACCTTCATTCTTAGCGCTGGTCTAAGAGGCTAAGAGGGGCCTCTACCCATTCACTCGAAAAAAGAGCTTCTGTTGCTCTTTTTCCATTGCGTGTATGTGACTGATAGGAGATTAGAGTCCAAGATCCAAGGTTCATAGCATTAAGAGTGCCTGCTACATACGGTTAGTGAGATGGCAAGGGTGACGGCGGCGATAATCGCTGAGCGGTGTTCATGCCTATTGTAAGAATGCGAACATCAGTACATAAGTAGGAGGAAGTAACGCAACGCCGGATGTCCGCTCCTTTTTCCAACGCCAGGTGCAACTTCACGTAGATCCGCAGGTCAGATGCTGTCAACACAGCGCAATCCTACCATCGAGAAGCATGTCAGTGTCTCAGGCTCGAGTGTAGAGAGAAAGATACTTTCCATATCAGCCAAGAAGTCATGCCGCAGCGAAATCTTAAAGACACCGTGCGCCAAAGGCGCTTTTAGAATGGCTCATTATATTCAAACAATCTTCACCAGATATGAACCATCGGATTCTATAGAAAGGGCGCCACCCACCGCGGCATCACTGTCACAGAGCATTTCACCTATTACGCGTGAGCAGATTGTAAGCATCACGCCTAGACGTCTACGTGTTTCTCATCAAATTACCATCCAACAATTTCGATGAGCACTCACATATAAGACATGCGTACCAAATATAGTAAACCCACTGTTCTCCATACCTCTATCGCCTACTCAGATAAACATGTCTGTGGGCATGCTTCCGCTTCAACTATATATTGGACAGATTACTCACAAGCTATCGTGTTCAGGACATTGCGAAGTACGCCAAGACAGAGGCCAATGACGGCACCTGCAATTGAGCCGCATGTGGTTGTGCCGAGCCCCCCAAGAACAAACAATTGCAATTAAAACAATAATCTGTGCATTACACTAGTTCCCGAGGTTAAGTTGAAGGTTGCGTTAACGCTTGTGTCCGCTAACACAGCTATGCGGAGTGGGCCGTGCGTCAACGAAAGGCTTCGGGTTTCGTCCCAATTCAAGCGTGCTGGCATGATTTTCTGAGAACTGTTGTATCCGCACAGCTACGAAAGATACATAATCAGGAGCAATAGTTGTGCACAGTTAGTTCATGAGCATGTGCACCCCAAGGGGCAATATCAGCCGTGCAAGCATCTGAGTAAAAGACGACATTTAGCAGAAATTTAAGAGTAGGATTCTGATCACGGAGTGGGATCAATTTCTCAAAATGCAGCATAAATGATTCATGCGGAGATATGCTATCAAGACGTGGTCCACGTCATATACGAAGACTCAGTACTCAGCATGAATCATCATATAGCTTCGTAATCATTTCAACACTGTATTATCGTCGGGCGCCTGCTGATACTAAAATTGCGATGATGAGCTTGACCCATGTGTAGACGCACCGAGCCGCGCATTAACGCTGACTGACAATGTCGTCTTTCAATCCACCAAGGCAAGTATTTCCAGTACTTGCTTGAATGCAGCCAAGCATGTCATGAATGGATGAGATGATGTGCAACAATAATAGACAATGAGGAGAGACAACTAATCGAACAGACCGAAACCCTACCGCCCAAGTTAACGTCAGTACCATTTAAAGGCCGTCGAGGGGTGGTACTAACCATGTCGTCGTCTGACTCCTCTTTCTCCTCTTCCTTCTTCTCTTCCTCTTTCGGTGCTTCTGCTGCTGCCGCCGCGCCGCCACCAGCCGCAGGTGCCGCACCAGCAGCTGGCGCAGCCCCACCGCCGACGTTAGAAAGGAGTTCTTTTACATTCTTGCCCTCAAGCGCCTTTGCGAGGAGGGTTGCCCAAATCGGCTCGATTTCGACTGACGCAGCGGTTGTCAACGCGAGAATTTTGTCGGACTGTTGGGAAAACTCAGTACAGCTCGCGGAATATGGCAGAAAAAGTTACTGACGGTGATCTCAATGCCTTCATCGGCAAGGATAAGAGCGGCGTATGTTGCGGCGAGTTCCGTTGTCGACTAGAGGTATAAAGGTACATTAGTCTGCGTATATGGAGGCATCTTGGCTATACGCGTCTGTCCTTGCGACTGGTACATCCGGATATCGCTGCGATCATCCACCATAACGCGACATGCCCAGTCGACCAGAAAACTCCTAGCACAATCCTGCTAGTAGAATCCTATACGGTACTCACCATTTCTGCGATCGTAAGGGAAGGCGGGCTTGAGGAGCGAGGCGTGGATGAGATTTTGTGTACGGCAACGACGCGGTATGGACGCTCTGACTATCGGCTAACACCGGTAGCCGGGCGTCTAGATTAAAGCAGTGTGGGTCTGACGCGTCATGTGGCGGCGTCAACTCGCCTTGACAATGAAAGTGTTTTGTTGAACCTGTTCACTCTCGGACGAGTCCTCTTGCTGGTACCATCTACTTCTGCTGGGGGCTTGGAGAGGGCTGCGTGAACTTTTCCGAGTTCCACCAAAAGTTTCTTCACTTCCGCCGGATTGATAGTATGGAGCACCAACCTCTTGCGGTGCCGCTCGAGTATACAATCGCGGATTGTTCAGAGCATAGTGGCAAATATGTTGCAGAGAATATCCTTGTCGATAGCCCTTTGGACCAAACTAGTAGATGGAGCGGAGCGTACCAGACACCAAGCGTAAAGCAGTGGATGCTTCTCCGTCTCACGCAGTTATGCATACTCAGTTGAGCACCTACTATTACATGACCTGCGAGCATTTACTAAACAAGTATAAGAAAGCATCTCGTTTGGAAAGGTGTGTCCCTCATCATGCGCAGATAATTGGATGATTTATAATGTTTCTTTCCGACCACAGTTCCATAAGCGTGAGTACTCGACTGGAACATTGTCGTCTCTGAGATCGATCTAGCTGTCTGCTTTGTGATAGCCCACCCCTGTAACATGAAAGAATTCAAAGTCTACGTGGGATTGACACAAGACAACATGACAGAAGTGAGCATCTCGCCGGCTGGCATATCTTCTTGCTAAGTGTTGAATCTAAGGTCCTGCATACTGGTCTCAAAAATGATGCATACAAAGAAACATTTTCTCTCCGACATACGAATAGTGCTGGCATATGCTTTCCAACGCGTTATGTAAAAATTGTCCCCTTAGCGTACGATTTCAAAGTTGTATTGCCGGATACGTTCAACTCAGGACATTGTATGTGTACAGGCCTCATGGACAGAGCTTTCATACGTCAATTTGGCACATCTCCATGATAGGAATCATGGATGAGGAGTATGTACAACAAATCCAAGCCAAGCATGAAGAAGTGAGTTTCTTATTTCAAGCTAAATGTCAACTGAACTTCTGGATTTCAAGTATCGTGAGGTTACAGTGCTACGATTCGTTCTTAAACATCTTCGTCAGCGCCGTTTTCTCACGCCTTTCAACGATGTGCTCTCTCGATCCGATCTCGAGCTCGAACATCCTCTAGTGACTCAGCTCTACGACAGCATCGTGATCAAGGGTGACTGGTCTCGGGCGGAAGAGGCTCTCCTTCCTGCCGCATCTTCTGGACTTTTTGATTCCTATCGTTATGCTCGTGCGCCACACGCCCATTGGACCCAACTCCACGCACTCGACGCTGATGGCTCTGAGCCTAGTCGTCGAGGCGGACACGCGATGTGCATAGATGAGCAGAATGGCCTCATTTATCTGTTTGGCGGATGGGATGGGCAGCGCAACATGGATGATTTTTGGGTCTACAACGTACATCATGACACATGGAAGTGCCTTAGTGCTGCAACGTCCCGTGACGAGAATGGCCCGAGCCCGCGGGCGTGCCATAAAATGGTCTTCAATAGCAAGACTGGTTCAATATACTTGCTTGGAAGACTGGGAGATGGTGACTCAGCGGATTCAGCGGACACAAGGGATGGGAACGTAGGTTCGCCAAGGCCCACTAGCCCAGGTCGAAATCACGAAAGGCCTACTGATCCGCCACGAGCACGGGATGTTACACCTCTACCCTGGCTAACATATCGTTCTGAGTTCTATCGCTACGATACTCGGGGCGTACAAGCGGGGAAATGGACCTTACTGTCCACCGACACTTCGGTATGACCAAGGATCCTTGTCAATGTATGCCTTCGATTTATAGTAATATTTTCTGCCCAGGTTGTTGATGGGCCATCTTTGATATTCGACCACCAGATGGTCATCGAATGTGAGGCCCAAGTTATATGGGTGTCAGGTGGTCGTGTAGTCGATGGTGAATGGGAGATATGCAAATATTCGGGACTATATTCATATGACATCCGCACTGGATTGTGGCAGGCTCAGTGAGTCAATGGTCGAATTGAGACTATGAATCTTTAGTTGACATGGTCTAGTATGTCAGGCTCAAACAATGTTGATCAAACTGCTTCATCTCGATTTGGTAGGCCACCCTCCCACAATTTTGCATTCAGTATACTGATTCTGTTTGCCCCAGGCCATTCAATGTTGCTCGAACCCATCTCTCGTACTCTGATCATATTCGCTGGGCAGCGAGACGACAAATATCTCTCAGATATGTATGCCTATCATATTCCTTCAGGTACTATGACCAGCCTCTTCTCCAATTTCTCAGCTATTGGAGGGCCCGATGCTTGCTTCACACAAAGGGCCGCCATCGATCCCGAATTGCACGAGATCTACGTGTGAGCTGCCTCCTGTTAGCCATTGTGGATATAGTCGAAACTAACTCATAGTTGTTCAGATTTTCTGGCCTATCTCGTAATCGTTCTGGGATGACAGTCTTGGAGAGCGATGCGCCAAGCTGGGTGTACCGATTTGATCGACCAGACCGACCGGGAAAATGGAGTAAAATTCTCTTAGGTGATTCTCCTGCCGCATCGTCATCTCACCCACCAGATCGGATGGCTCCTTCGCCGCGTTACGCACACCAGGTTGTGTATGACTCTATCAACAAAATCATATACATGCACGGTGGTAACTCAGGGATCGTACGAGATGGAAATGATGATCATGCATCATTCCGCGATGCAGCCAGGGAACGGCCTCTGGAGGGACCAGATGCAACCAAGGAGGATCGTCTTGATGACTTCTGGAACATGCACTTGCAGCGGTATGTTGTCGATCTGTCGTATCGAAAACTAGGTTACAAAGCTCGCTTTGGATCCAGGCCTTTGGCGGAAGACATCGTGCGCAGGGCAAGATATGACATAAGGCAGCAACAGTAAGTGTGATTCTAGATTGGAAGAGTTGAATAATAGGGGAATGTGACCACTCAGATTTCGCGAGATGTGCGAGGACGCTCCCGCGGTTCAAGCACTCGCTTTCTTGCAAACAAAAGTGTCTGAAGTCGTGAACCATTCAGATTCAGATGAGGCACATATATTCCGCTCTCTCCTTTCCCATCTCTTAGCTTCTACCAAACCGATGGCACCATCCAGTACAAGCCAGAGGCATGCTGGGATATTGTCATCTGATCACGACCTAGCATCGTCTGCAAAGACAGGTAGAGATATGTTGGCGGATGCGCTACAATCGGAAGACGAAGAAATGGAGGATCGCACCGGCGAGACGCAAGGAGGTTTGGAATCGCAACCTGTAATCCGCTTAGAAGAGGACCCAGCGGAGACACTATCTGTCGGCGTACCGCCATCAGCGGAGAGATTCAAGCAGAGGACAGAAGTATTCGAGAAGCTCATGGTTTTCGTGAAGGAAGATGCGAAGCAGCCTGATCGAAACTTGCTAGACTTGATCAACACAGATGAATATGAATGACCATGTGTATCATACTGCAGGACGTGGGACATTATCGCTACAATGGAGAGTAGAAATTACCGGTATAGAGAGGGAGAGCGCAGTCGAGCTAACAGTAGGAATGTCACTCGTCCAGGTTGATTGCTTTTCCGAATTTCGCGTACAAAATGACCTTGAGCTCCGTCATCGACTTTTGGCACTCCTCTGCCCGCTCTGAGAACCTGGACAGCTCCGAGTCCAATTCATTCTGATCTTTCTCTAGCCGTTTCATAGCACGGCCGTGTGGTAAGTGAAGGAACGCCTCTCCAACTTTGTACCTAGTAAAGAGCAATCTCTGCCTTAAGTGAAGTCCACGAAAGGTCAGGAAAAGGACGCACATGACAGGTTGGTCATCATCTGCTAACTCGAGTTCCATGGACAAATCATCGAGAGCCTCTTTCTCTTGCTGCAGAAGCCTATACTAAGTCGTTTCCAGGGTCGCGCGCAACTTCGGGCGCACCTTTAATTCTGTTATTTTTTCTTCAATTCCACGCAGCCGAGTATTGATCTTGGAGAAAGTATTAATCCGCTGTTGGTCCTCTAAGCGCAGCTCAGCAATACGCCTGTGGGCAGTACAATGCATGCCACGCACCCCATGTCACCTCCGCCGTATCATCCTTCTCGTCTTCTTGCGATAGCTGATCGAAGCGTCTTCAATGCATTCATTCTACTATCCACGTCAGACACGCACCATGCGCATATTTTCTAGGAAGAATCACCAAAGGATGGAGTTTATGATGAACACTGGTGGCACCGGCCTGAGATCTCGTTCAATGCCTAGGTGCGATTTCGGAACTGATGTGACGATTGCGGTAGTCACGTCACGCATCATTGAGGAAAAACCGAGATTCGAGCAAATTAAAGATGCTTCAATCTTCACACATAGTTTGAGTACCTCAATATTCACTAACATCACTCAATATTCTCCCAGTCATCATACTTGGCGAGGGCTCAGGGACCCACTGTGTGATTGGTACTCCAGACTGCTGAAGCGTTGAGTCTCTGGCTTTTATGTGGTCTAGATGTTAGTTGAATTGGTCTACAGGTACCTCATGAGCTGTTGGAGCAGACCTAGAATATCTCCTGAAACATCACCCTCATTTGAACCAGGGCTATGACGCGAACGGGACCTTCATCGATGTCGTAGAGGCTATAGCCGAGTACATAGGGACGCGCTGCAGCGAGTACGATTGCTGTAGGAACGTTTTGAGCTGAAACTCTGACTCGGCCAGCCAGGTATTGTCGATGGATGAAATTAGCCCATAGCTCTTCTATCGACGATAAAGATTCCAATCTCGTAAATATCAGTGGTGGTGCCGGACTCATCGTCTTACTCGCTTCTTTGCTTTCCCTGTGATTTCGAGGACACTCACAACCAGCATCTCCCACCTGCGCAGGTAAGCGGAACTATCATTGATGTTTTTCCTGGAACATTCACTGGTTATACATTTTATAATAGCTCAGTAGAGCACCGAGTGCATCTAATGCAATTCTCATACTTCAGTGCCTGCTTTGACAACTAAGCCTGACGACAAAGCTGTATCCCTCACTGGATGCGGTCTTTAAATAACCTATTGCTGTGTGTTCCTCCCCTCTCTCTCCCATAATGCAAATTGTACTCCCCGTTTGCTTCCCATATGAAACTATTATTAGTTGAGGTCTGTCAATACCTTTATCTCAAGATTCTGTCCCCCAATACGCCCTAATTTTCACATTGGGGCACTAGGACTGACGCTTCATCTTCTGGACCACTATGGCTGCCACGATGTTTTTCTGTCTTTTGAGTGCTCGGCGTAATTACGTGAGCACAAAGTGACTGAGTATATAGTATATTTCAATGTCAGGCCCCAGCACCGCGCGCTCACCCACCAGTGTCAATAGGTCTACGTACTGGATACCATATGACGTGTGAGTGACAGTTAGTTATGATGAGTTTGATAACTCATTAGAGCAATAGCAATGTACGTGATTTGGAAGCTTTGCTCGATGGTATGAATCCTGCAATTGAATTGCTAAGATACATTAGGAATATTGCGAGTGACAGGGCGAGCTTGGGACACTGTTGGCAAGAGAATTTCTTCCCCACTACTAGTAGCTAGCGGTGGCAAAGAATACGGCAGGTGAGTGCGTCAGAATCCAAATCTGGTAGTGTTACAGGATGCGCTTGTGCGACTGAACAGTTTACGTGTCTCATGCATGCCGTGATCCCACAGGTCAGTAGTGACAGCAACACCCGACGTGCAAGTCCATGGTACACGCTCCACTTGGCAGCCTTGATCCAGGTCAAATTGGGTTGACAGCCCAATTCAGCAGCCACTTTGTCCCTGGGCGGCATCACTCAAACCCAAGCCCATCATTTCACGCTATCCCTGTAAGCACCAGAACTACCTCAGCCTAGTCTATATAGATACAGAAAGGTTTGTCCTGTGACCCCTTTTTTCCAAGTGTATAACAATCAGCATTTAATCGCAGACGCAATATCGATGACACGCCGACTTGGCGGGTACGACATGTTACAACAACCAACAGTTCTGGGCGTCTAAAATATGAAATCTCGGATCGGACTCGTGCATTTGAATCCACGGAGTTAACCGAAGAGTCGGAGTCGCCTATCTTCTCGCCTCAAATATCGGGAACAAGAGGGCACGCATCCGCTCTTCGACGCAACCCGTCGCGGTAGCTATGTTTCCCCTGCATAATGTTAGGCTTCTCCGCTGGTTATGTATCCTCTTGCATTTCCTTCTCATCTTTTTCCATGTGACACTGTTTATTGTCTGGTCTGTTCACGGGGAACATGCAGTGGTGGTCTCATTGAATGAGAGCGGCAAGGCATCCACTGTCATTGTCGTTGTCCTCCAACTATTTGTCACGGTAAGGGTTTTCTCGTCTTTTGAAATACCTGTCCAATGTGCACTGCTTACAAGCTCCATGTTTGCCACAGGTTTATACCGTCCTGCTCGTGGTTACAACGCAACATCTTGCATTGAAGCGGCTACTCACCCGGTCACAGACCTTGACTGCTACTCATGATATATCAACAGCCTGGAATGGTTTAGGATCGGCCTTCTTGAGTCTAGTAAGGCAGACTGCTGTACCTGCTGCCATTAGTGGTACATTCCTAGTCGTCGTATATCTCTCGGCGATCGCTGCTCTCCACATCACTACCCCGTCCTTATTTTCCATGGACACTTTCAACAACCCCGGGGTCGCGACGATCGGCTCCGCCATTAGTATGCCCGAATTCGTTTTGAACAAATCGTGAGCGATTTGTCGTTGCATTTAGTGTTCTCTAATTGTGACATGCTAGAGTGACTGACAATTCCTATCCATTCTTTTTCTGGGGGGATACGTCTCAGCTCTTGCCCTTCATTGGCCAGGCAGTCCCTTCAGAGACTATGGGGTTGTATAACGGGACTCTCTTCGATGTACTGGATAACAGCAACGCAGTTGGTAATGTCTCTGTGGGTGCATGGGGAGCCAACGTGACCTGTCAGCACCTGTCCAATACTACTGCGGTGAACTCAAATGTGAGCGAGACAGACGGAACTTGGTATGTACAGAGCGTGTATGGCGACTACAACTTGGCATTCGGTGTACCTTATATTTGTAGGTAATGTCTTATATACGATTAGGACAACTCATCATATCCTGGTAGTGCCGAATGCGATCAAGGTTGTACCTTACCGCTTCATAGAGTCATATCCTCCACTTTTGGTACGCCTAGCCCGTCTTGGTGGAGCTCATACATTTACTGTCTGTCACTTAGGGGCGCAACGTAATCGTATATGCGACCATCAACATCACAGATAGTACGGGTGCGTCTGAAGGAGTGGTGACGCTCGACCCTCCAATGAGTGCAGGTTTGTTCTGCTCGGCATCATTTTGTCTGGAAGCTTTGATCCGCTGACGCCGAGTAAGAGGGCAATCAGCAATATACACTGTATAATGTCCAGGCCATGGGGTGCACATTATCATGGACGGAACAATATGCAACCGTCGACGCTCAAACAAGACAGCTGTTGGCGGCAGAACCTGGTGTTGTAAAGACTTCTGCAGGATGGAGTCTATGGGAGCCAAAATATGGAAATGTTTCGTGGTTCATTGACTACGTGGAGGATCCGCAGGTTGATGCGGTGTGTTCGGTTGATCATACGGATTTACAGTATGCTAATCCTGCCTGCACAGTGGGGTGACATGTTTGAGTGGTCAACAACCTCGGCAAATGTTGATGATGATCCGGTTGCTTACAACAGTGCAGGTTATGCAACCGTCATTGAATCGTTGAGTGCCATCTACCTATCAAATTCCCAGAGAAGCTCACTTTTGCCACAGATATCTCATGCAAAGGCTAGGAATGTTCCCGGGATTTCCGGTGACCTCCACTATTTCACTGCGTGACGTTGAGAATTATCTCGGTACGTGCTCGCAGTACTGGTCGGTGCAGATATGTTTTCATCGAGAGAATAGGGAGTGTTACTGCTGCATTGTATTGGGGAGGTCGGTCGCGATTTTGCCATGCATTCTAACACTACTGACTATGATGTCGCAGCTGCCAACATTGGACCGAACACGTTCTATACCCAGCAGCTCGATGGTCAGAATTACTATGTTGCCACATCTCGTGGGCAAGCTCTAGGAGCGGTGACGCAATCTCGTCTGAACGTACGTCTTTCAATCACCTATGATGTCTACTTTGTGCCTACCTCATTTAACATTATAGCTCAACCTCACACCGGTAAGTGTGCCGTGACTACATGGAGGCAATAGCCGCTAACGACGCTTCCAGCTTGCATGTGGTCTAACTGCCTCTGTTCTGCTCTTTGTTCTGTCCGTCATCCTGACGCAAGGAGTCAGTAGGCAGGTTGCGCCTGTCACAGGCCTGGGCCTCTTGCAAGTCATCTGGTTGATGCGCGGTCAGCCTGAGGTACAGGATACGCTTTCTCAAACAGAGAATCCCTCCACGAAGAGCCTACGTGCGACGGGCATGATCGAGCTTACTATCGGAAGACCGCGGGTTAACATCCTTAGGGAATCCAACAGCCCATCGTCGGATAGCTTAATGAAAGACGTTAATAGAGACTGATCTCCCCTCTCCTCGCCGCGCATTGTATATTAAGCTAGGTATTGCTCCTCGCTGTTCGTTTGACTAGATTGTCGTCTTATTTTACTTTGTATCATTGGATCGGGCTGACACGTACACATTCTCTCTGCTTTCCCATGAACGTTAAAACCTTTACTAGTCATATTAGTATCTCACATATGTATTATCCACACTGTTTGTTCGTGACTCGTTTATTGTCTTTGAGGGCATGGCCTTATGTAGACGATAGCTACAGTAGTCTAGCTTTCGATGCGATGAATCGAGCAATTATCCACGCTAAAGCTCTGCTTCTCTATTAGAGAGGGTGTGAACAATGACAAATCGACGATACCCAGGCTTTGCATGGCGGTGACTAGTCGTCATCATACCCCGTGTTATCACATCACGCGTATACTCTGTTTCACCTATGAATAAGAACCAAGTGATTTGTGAAGAGCTAGAATACAACTAGAATACATTATAGGAATTGAGAGTATTTAGACCAATTGCTGTGCGCGGAAAGAGTGCGACACATCAGCTGATGCGCGCGGTACATCAACTGCTTAACCGTGTCGACCCAAAGATCGCGCACTCTTGCTGATGTTCTTGGCCTCAAACTGTTTGGCTTTCGCCCGCTTCGCACTTGATACAGGTCAGCAATGTAAGAGAGGGGGACAGCAGGACAACACACTCTTCCGATGCTTCTCTCTCAATATTCTTCACGTGCTCCCTGGCACCGCGTACCGCGGCGCGAGCCTGCATGAGAGCCCTGTCCGCCTCACGCTCGGCCGCCTCGGCTTCCGTGACTTTCTGACGAGCCGCAATGACAGACGGGTCTTTCCTGGCATGACCGTGGTCCTTCTCCGAAGACGAGGAGCGACGACGTCCAAAAAATCCAGTTGAGCGGGCGCCGTTGGTTGGGGACTGACGTTCGTCCTCTGGTGTATTAGAACGGCGGGAGAACATGCTGCGGGTGCGGGAGGGCTCATGTGCGGGCGGCGTAGCCTCCTCTGGCGTAGATGAATGGAACAACGGCATGGCTGGACGAGAAGCTATGTCAACAATGGCAATCTTCCGAGGGAAGGTGCGTACCTAATACCTGGTTGAATGTAAGGGTATAATTGTGGGTATAATCCAGTAACGATGTGTGGACGAGAGTTGCGTCTCCTACTCCTACTCATATACCTTTATCTTTATGCTCAAACGCCTTCTACGTCAGTGGAGAGAACGTCCTCACGCTTGAGGCGATGCCCTGATACTCCGCAAGGGCCAGTGTCGCGTTTGTGGAGTGAGGCCACTCGTACATCTCCGGTATAGCACGGTTCTGTCGTATGTTTAGGAGTTCAGAGTGAATCGCAGTGAATCGAACTTCAAGTGAGTAGTGACTGCAGTGAGCGTTCGCCACAGCTGCGTCAGAGGTCCGTGCGTGGGAATGCGTCCGGGTAGCGGAGTTTCATGCGGAGCACGAACCCTTCCAGCTATCGCAACCTTGTATAAATGCATGACTCACCCTTCCTACCTCCACCACGCCCGCCGCCCTTCGAGCTCGTTGTTATCGACGGTCCCGGGAGCAGCGCGTTGAGCCATGTCGAATAAAATTGTGGTGAGCAATACACCGTGTATGGTCTGTACATTGGCAGCGAGTGACATTCGCTCCCTGGTGAGCCCTCTATTTATCGCTCCGTCATCGACGACGTGATCGCGAACATAAAGTCCGAGTTTGACGAATACGGCGTATCCGAGGACGTGTTGGCTGACCTGCAGCATGTGAGTGCGTTGTCCCCCCGTGTTTCCGCCGCTACAAATCTCTGCAGAAATGGGAGACCAAAGTCATTGCGTCGCATGTGGCAGAGTTTGAGGCCGTGCCACCCCCGCCGCCCCCGGCCCCCCAGCACCC